CTGGCGTTTTGCAGTCCAAGCCATGGTTCTCGAGATGGGTCTTCACCTCTGCTGCGGTGGCGACCTCCTCATTCACAAATATGTCATCGACGTAGGAGGATGTCGCGCTGTCTATTCTCTGGTCCAGCCCGAGAGCCATGCTGAGCACTTTTTTCATCACCAGCGGCGCACAGCCGATTCCAAACCCTAGTCTCGTCAGACACCACCTTTTGCCCTGAAACACAACAGTCTGGTAGTGCCACAGAGACTCGCTCACATGCACCTGCAGGTAGGCGTCTTTGAGATCCAGAAGCGACACGTTCCGTCCGAACCGACGCCACTCGCGAATTTTCTCGCTACACACGTCTGCGGCAGCCGTATGCGAGTCCAAATACTCATTCAGCTCTCTGAAGTCCATGACCGGGCGCACTTTGTCTTTGTTCGGCTGAATCACCGCCATCAGCGGTATTGTGCCCTTTGCCTGTCCGTGGACACGCTCGTCATAGGGAACAAGCCATCCGTTTGTCACCCACTTTGTGAGCTGTCGCTCATACTCCTGCCTGGCCTCTGATGGTATTGAGTACTCCTCCGCTTTGTTGAACAACTGTCCTGGCTCATCCCCACACCATTTCAATTGCACAGACCACTTTTTCTGGCTCTCATCGTAGCTCACAATAAAGTCCTTCTCCTCCTCGCGCCATATACCCGCCGCCGCCTCCGGCGCCGCCATTGCCCGCGTCTCGGTCACTGTCAGGGCCCCAATTGCCGCTGACCCAGATTCCGCCGCCTCGGTAGGTGCAGTCGACTCGGCCAGTGCCGCCGTCTCAGCTGCCACAGGCGCCGCCTCAGGCACCCGTCTCTCAGCCGCCGCCGCCGTCCCAGCTGCCGCCGGCGCCGTCTCGGGCGCCCGTCTCTCGGCCACCGCCGTCGTCCCTGCTGCCGCCGGCGCCGTCTCGGGCGCCCGTCTCTCGGCCACCGCCGCCGTCCCTGCTGCCGCCGGTGCCGTCTCGGGCGCCCGTCTCTCGGCCACCGCCGCCGTCCCTGCTGCCGCCGGCGCCGTCTCGGGCACCCGTCTCTCGGCCACCGCCGCCACCCCGGTCGTTTCAGCTCCGAACCTCACATGGTTCTCAGCACTCACCGTCACGCCACCCAGTGCACTCACGCCGTTCATCCCCAGGATAAACTCAAAGCCCAGCGGCTTCCGTGACACCACAAGCACGTGCACTGATATCGAGTCGCCAGATTGCGATCGCACCTCCACGACACCCGTTCCCTCGCACCAGTATCGGTCACCGCTCACCGTCATCACGCTCACTGCGTCTCGACTCCAATTTCGACACACTGACACGTGCGCTACACACAAGCTGCATCCCGTGTCCAGCAGGGCGTCACAGGTGGCGCCGTCCACCGATAATCGCACAACGGGCAGCGCCCCGCTCACTGGAGACCGGGAGAGGAGGCGATATGACCGGGCCGGTTGCAGCGGAAGCAGCGCACACTGCGCCGACCGCCGCGGGCCCCGCCGCGCTCCCGCTGACCGCGAGCAGCGAGACAATCCCGCGACAGGTGGTTGGGCTGTCCGCATGAGTGACAGGTCACGAGGGGTGGCGCCGCCGACGTCCGCGCTGCTGCTCCCGTCGCTGCTGCCATGGCAGTCTCTTCTTCATCGGCGAGCACAGCTCGGGTTCGGCTGATTAGCTCGCTCAGCGTCATGCTTTCGACGCGGCTTCCTGCACGAAGCACACGGCGGGTGGTCTCCGGCAGTTTTGCCACGAACGCGCAGGCTAGGCCGCCGTCTGACATACCGCCAAACAGGCTGGACAGGCGACGCAGCTCTGCGACGAAAACATCCACCGGCTCGCCTCGACGGAGCTTCATCTTCTCAAACCGGTCATAGGCGTCAAACTTATCCTCTGCGAAAGCCGAAATCAGGCCATTTTTGATGGTCTCGTAGCCAGCCTTGTCCTGCTCGTCCAGCTGCTGATAGACAGCGAACGCCCCGCCAGTGAAGCGGAGGGGAACGACGACGTGCAGCGCGTCGATGCCACGTAGACGGCACACCAGCTCCACCTTCTCCAGCCACTCTGTGACAGGCTGAGTCGCTCCGTCGAACTCAGGTATGAGTCGGAGATCGGCTGCAGCGTCCGCCGCACTCGCCGGCTTCACTCCACTCTCAGGCGCACTTTTCTCGTCCTTCATGGCTCTTACTCTCTGTCTCTCACACAAGGCCGAAATAGCTTGTGGAAAACCGAGCCACCTCTCACACGCTGTATTCCTTACGTCATCGTGTCGCGGCGCCAACTGCCGCCGCGCGCCCGAGCCCGGCCGGCGGTCCACAGTGCACACACAGCTGTGCGCCATAAAACTAGCGCCGCAGGCGCAGGAAATGCGGCCCGCCGGTCCCACGACCTCGGCGCGCCCACACAAACACGGTCCTAAGCACACACGCACAATACACACACGAGGCACGCTACATTCTACTAATTCATAACACAATTCTATTACAATGAGTTTAAAGACGGAGAACTTGAAGGAGGAACTGCCGAAGACTTGGCTGGTCAGGTGGTCTCATCACTGAAACAGCTGGGTCTCCAGGACAGCGCACTGTCGCGACTCGTTGCCCACCACGCAGATGGACAGTACCAAGCCTCTGCGTTTGCTGAAAAGCTCAGGGAAAGTTGCCTCGCAGAAGCTGAAGATGGGAGCACGACGAAACTATCTTTCGTAGTGCCATGGGACCTCAGCCACTGGATGAACCTGGCTGTGGTTGAAGTCCGAGACAAAGCTGACTCCGAGCTACTACGACGCTTTATCAAGCGTTCGAACAAGTTTCACTCGATGTTTGGAAGAGGCCGGGGTCACGATGAATATTTTGGCCTAGCCAAGGAAAAAGGGCTGGACGCCTATGAAGCCCAGGTGTACGCCACTACGCGGTTCACGAGCAGCGCGTTTAACCAGTTCACCACCATCTACAAAGGCTACGAGGGCTACGTAACCGCCTACTCAGACCTGCGTGAAACGAAGGATGACTGTGAGGAAATGCGGTACATGGTGAAGGGACAGGACTACTGCCTCGATCTCTGCGGCATCATTGACGTTTTTTCACCAGTCGTCGAAATGATGACGAAGGGACAGTCCTTGGGCCATCTGCTGTGGGCCTGCACCAAGTGGTGGCCGAAGCTGAGATCCATTCTTGTCGCCCAGGCTGTGAACATCAGAGAACAGGTTGCCGACACCCAGTCGCTTCGTCTATCGCCTGAGCTCTTTCCAAAACTGGCGAGTCACTTCATGGAGCTGAGTGGGGCCGAGCCCTCGTTCAAGAACATTGCCCTTGAAGAAGGCTGGATTATCCAGCAAGAGACCGCCAAGGACGAATCAGGAAGTGCACCAGGAGGTGCAAAAAAGAAACGAAAAGTGGTTGAATGGGTGGCCAGGGACGTGACGGATTGCCTCACTGAACTCGCACATCTCTGTGACTTGCTGGTTGACCGAGTCGGCAGTCGGTATGCGGCTACAACAACGGAGATCGCCGAACTGCTCGGAAAATGTCTTGACATTCCAGACGTCCTGACTTTGATTGAAGGCCGTGGGCTCCAAGCGCAACAACGTGGAGTCCTTGAACAACACGGAAATGAAGAGTTCTCACAGTTCTTCGCCCAAGTTGTGTCGCTACCACATGTGGCTGCTCTGCAGGCCAGCGATGGACAACTAGACCTACATCCGGGACTTTCAAGCGTGGTCTACAGGCGCTTCAAAAAGATAATCAGCTCTGTGGTTTGGCATAACACAGGCAGCTGCCGGAACGAGTGGTTCCGATGTGTGGACAATGGAAAGATGCCCGAGTCAGATGCCGTGGACGAGTTTCGAGTGATTAAGGACAGTTGTCTGGAGGATGAGTACGAGTTCAGGTTCGGCGGTGTGTCGTACGTGGCTGTGCTCGACCATGCTAAAGCGTTTAAAACGTTTTACACAAACCCTGCCGTGTACGAGGCTGCTGGACGCGAGCTGTGCATTGCGCTGGATGTGGCTCTTGCCATGAGCGGGACTGAGGCTGTAGTGGAATCCTACTACTCCGTCATGAAGGGTCAAAGCCAAGCTGGAGGGCAAGGAAATGACACCCTTGTCATGCGAACAAATGCGGATTGGCTTATGCCACTTCCTATCAAATGTCCCAACACCGGTCGGTCGACCATGTCCAGGCGGTCCAGGCGGTCGACCATGTCCAGCTATGCAGCTATGCGTTTCTTAAGATCTTAAAAACTATTTGAATAAGGCTTTATTGCCTACATTCAAATGCATTTCATTGATATTTGTGTGCCGTGTCCCTCTGCTAACAGGAACGGTGCGGTATTTACCAATGCGGTAAATAGCTAAACCAGAGACTGAGGCTAGTCATTCTCGATTCGTGTCTGCAGTAACGACCAACAAACGTGACAGGTAAGTCCGTGTTACAAGGCAAACGTAATGTGCTGTTTTGCTTTGTGCCTCGTTTGAAGCAGAAAACGGTCAGTTCTACCCTGCAGTCTAATCATTGTTAATGTCTTTAAATGTACTTGGAATGTGGATATGTATATCCGATGGTCCCTGAAAAGGGATAATTTTGTAGCAAGGTTATAAATATAACCATCAAGGCTTCAGTTGAAAGCCGATGTGAAATGTTACAACAAGTCACGTTTTTCCTTTCATATTACTTCACCAGTACTTGTGATATATACAGACTGAGGCACAATATCTATTGGTTTTTCAACCGAACTTAATGTCAAAAGTGGTCGATAATAATCGATAGATCCTGCCGCATTTATAACTGTTAAGGCGGAAGTGTGACTTGTTGAAGTGTGACTTGTGCTTCACCGTATATGTAGTCGTCACGTGACCAATTTTGAAATGAACATTTCATTGATATTTGTGTGCCATGTCCCTCTGCTAGCAGGAACGGTGCGGTATTTACCGATGCGGTAAATAGCTAAACCAGAGACTGAGGCTCGTCAATCTCGATTCGTCTTCGTCTCTGCAGTAACGACCAACGAACGTGACAGGTAAGTCCCTGTTACAAGGCAAACGTAATGTGCTGTTTTGTATTGTGCCTCATTTGATATGTGGAAAGCATTGTTCACATCTCCATGCTAGCCATTGATGCGAGCGTGGAGTGTCTCCATTTTAAGACACTCCTTGGGAAGGGTCTGAAAGCCAAGGCGGACCAGACGTACAGGTCTCCCAAATGTGCATATTGGGCTATTGCAGGTATTATACATACGTTATATATTGCTTTTATCTTTTATTTACTAAAAAACGCAGATGCCCAACTGCCTGGCGGTCGACCATGTCCAGCTATGCAGCTATGCGTTTTTTAAGATCTTAAAAACTATTTGAATAAGGCTTTATTGCCTACATTCAAATGCATTTCATTGATATTTGTGTGCCGTGTCCCTCTGCTAACAGGAACGGTGCGGTATTTACCGATGCGGTAAATAGCTAAACCAGAGACTGAGGCTCGTCAATCTCGATTCGTCTTCGTCTCTGCAGTAACGACCAACGAACGTGACAGGTAAGTCCCTGTTACAAGGCAAACGTAATGTGCTGTTTTGTATTGTGCCTCATTTGATATGTGGAAAGCATTGTTCACATCTCCATGCTAGCCATTGATGCGAGCGTGGAGTGTCTCCATTTTAAGACACTCCTTGGGAAGGGTCTGAAAGCCAAGGCGGACCAGACGTACAGGTCTCCCAAATGTGCATATTGGGCTATTGCAGGTATTATACATACGTTATATATTGCTTTTATCTTTTATTTACTAAAAAACGCAGATGCCCAACTGCCTGGCGGTCGACCATGTCCAGCTATGCAGCTATGCGTTTTTTAAGATCTTAAAAACTATTTGAATAAGGCTTTATTGCCTACATTCAAATGCATTTCATTGATATTTGTGTGCCGTGTCCCTCTGCTAACAGGAACGGTGCGGTATTTACCAATGCGGTAAATAGCTAAACCAGAGACTGAGGCTAGTCATTCTCGATTCGTGTCTGCAGTAACGACCAACAAACGTGACAGGTAAGTCCGTGTTACAAGGCAAACTTAATGTGCTGTTTTGCTTTGTGCCTCGTTTGAAGCAGAAAACGGTCAGTTCTAACCTGCAGTCTAATCATTGTTAATGTCTTTAAATGTACGTGGAATGTGGATATGTATATCCGATGGTCCCTGAAAAGGGATAATTTTGTAGCAAGGTTATAAATATAACCATCAAGGCTTCAGTTGAAAGCCGATGTGAAATGTTACAACAAGTCACGTTTTTCCTTTCATATTACTTCACCAGTACTTGTGATATATACAGACTGAGGCACAATATCTATTGGTTTTTCAACCGAACTTAATGTCAAAAGTGGTCGATAATAATCGATAGATCCTGCCGCATTTATAACTGTTAAGGCGGAAGTGTGACTTGTTGAAGTGTGACTTGTGCTTCACCGTATATGTAGTCGTCACGTGACCAATTTTGAAATGAACATTTCATTGATATTTGTGTGCCATGTCCCTCTGCTAGCAGGAACGGTGCGGTATTTACCGATGCGGTAAATAGCTAAACCAGAGACTGAGGCTCGTCAATCTCGATTCGTCTTCGTCTCTGCAGTAATGACCAACGAACGTGACAGGTAAGTCCCTGTTACAAGGCAAACGTAATGTGCTGTTTTGTATTGTGCCTCATTTGATATGTGGAAAGCATTGTTCACATCTCCATGCTAGCCATTGATGCGAGCGTGGAGTGTCTCCATTTTAAGACACTCCTTGGGAAGGGTCTGAAAGCCAAGGCGGACCAGACGTACAGGTCTCCCAAATGTGCATATTGGGCTATTGCAGGTATTATACATACGTTATATATTGAACATTATATAACTATGCTGCCCCGGTGCTTTGCCCCATTTGGGGCAGGAATTCGGCTGCCCCTGTGTAAAATGCCCCATTTGGGGCAGGATTCTGGCTGCCCCAAACACCTCGTCGAGCTCCATGCCACGTTTTGCAGACTGGTTGAGAGGGATGTGACAATGCAACATGTTGCATTTTCTGAAACTGTCAAGCTCTTGATGATGAAGGAACAATTGGTACCTGTACCTAATTAGTATTCTGTACCAGAGTGCAAGCTCCCCTACAGCAAATGGTAAAACCATTACAGGTTTTCAAAGGCTTCACCACTTTCAATGTTGGTGGGCATCCTTTGCATGATTTTGACAGGCTAGACTGCTTATCAGAATGTAAGATTAAGGATTTAAAGTTTTATTTTTGAGTACTTAAGATTGAGCTTGAAATCTCGCAGCCGTGGCCACAGCCGTAGCCGTGTTCTTGGAGATATTTGCAGCCGCCCCGGCCCACAGCCGTGGGGCTGCAGCCAGCCGCGGCTGCAGCCGGCCGGTGCAGACCTCTACCAAAAAGATTCTTTGGGATGAGACGAATCCAATGATACCCAGTTTTACCTTCTCAGGTCAGTCATTGACCTTCCAGAAAATGTTGCTGTTTTGGGTCACCGTTGGATATGTGCGCTGCTTATCATATACCGATGACGATGCCGTTTTCTGCTGCCAAGCCAGCTAGAGCCTCTTAGTCACACTACCCGACCAGGTTTTTGCTGCTGATGTCATTTCAGGTCAAGTTAGGTCAAGGTCAATGATATGTGCTTGTATGTCTGTGTGTGTGTGTGTGTATACTGATGTGTGCACCGATTGTTTATGTTTCCATATTACATGAAATCATGATCTGAGAAGCTTTTACCAAAAATGCAGTCAAAAAACTTCACGAAAAGTAAGTTCAGCTTGCCTAAAACGCAATTATTTTAGATGACCTAGGTTGACCTTGACCCTGACTTTGACATCGGTACATCGTCGAACATCATGTTCCATGATAGGTGGGAGGTATAAGATTGGCAAAAAGGCCGAAATCAATGTGTCCAAAGCTCACAAGGCCCATAGCAAACGCACTAGATAATGAGAATTGGTCATTTGGGTCATGATAGGTAGGTATGACCTGAAACACAGGTCATATCTCCGAAACAAAAAAAAAAAACACAGAAACTTGAAATTTTCAGTGGACATCAAGAAAGGATAGAGAAGCAGCTATACGAAAAGTCAGGCTTCTATCTCTAAAAAATGTAGAGTGCAGAGCAGAAAGACTACCTGGGGGAAGGGGACAGCCTCCCCCCCCATGTACGGGCGAGAAGTAATCATGTATGGCATTGATTGGCAAATGAATACTTTTGAGCCTGTAGTAGGTAGTACACCCTCGCCCACACATGGGGGGAAGGTGGTTGCCAACCCCACCCCCTCCCAGGTAGTTTTTCTGCTCTGCACTCAACATTTATGGAGCTAGAAGCCTGATTTTTCGTATAGCTGCTTCTCTATCCTTTTTTTATGTCCACTATAAATTTCAAGTTTCTGTATTTTTTGGTTTCGGAGATATGACCTTGTTCTTCAGGTCAAGTCATAACCCAAATGACAAATTCCAAATACTTTTCGTTGGCTATGGGTCTTGTAAGCTTTTGATATCTTCATTTTGGCCTTTTTTGCCAGTCTTACCTCCCACCTATCATGGAACATGTTCCACGATATACAGGTGTCAAGGTCAGGGTCAAGGTGAACCTAAGTCATCTAAAAAATTGCGTTTTAGGCAAGCTGAAATTAATTTTCATGAGTTTCTTTGACTGTATTTTTTGGTAAAAGCTTCTCATTTCATGATCTCATGTAATATGGACACATACCTAAACAATCTTTGCACACATCAGTATAGGCACACAGACACACAGACATACAAACACATATCATTGACCTTGACCTAGCTTGACCTGAAATGACCTCAGCAGCAAAAACCTGGTCGGATGGTGTGACAAAGAGGTTCTAGCTTGCTTGGCACCACAATTCGGCATCGTCATCGCCCATCGGTCTATGTTGAGCGGCGCACTGGATATCCAACGGTGACCCAAAACAGCAACATTTTTTAGTTTGACCTGACCTGGAAGGTCATTTAATGACCTGCGAAGGTAAAACTGAATATCATTGGATTTGTCTCTTCCAAAATAATCTTTTTGGTCTTTACCGCGAGGCTCTATCTCCAACAGGAACGCAATGGCAATGGGGGGGGGGGGGGGGTGGCAACCACCATGTGCGTTCTTGGATGGTAAAATGGTATGTGCGGGCGAGGGTTAAAAGGAAAAAAACAGTGATGATTTTTAACTACTGCGTAGGTTTCGGACATCTTTGGACAAATGGCTGATTTGGACATTTTTGGACGGACAACCTATTGGACTCCGGACGGACATTGGACAAACTTTTTCTGAAACTGACACCACTAGCTCTCGGCCTCTGTGTTTTGAAGAATTTGAACGTGCGCACCAGACCGCAGTACACATCCAGCCAGCGAGCCGAGCCGGTCAGGCCACGGACAAAGACGGTGACGAATCGTGAGCTGCCCTTCCGCTCCACCGATAGCGCTGCTCCGAACCGCCGCCACCACACAGGAAGGGTGACCGCGCCGCCGCAGCTGAGGCCGACAGGAAGGACGTCAGATAGCCGGGCCAGTACCACCGAGTCCCAGAGCCGCAGGCAGGATGGTGCGGTGATCTAAAGAAGGTCCTCTTCAATATTATGTATAAAAAAATTAGGTATAAAATTATAAGTATGGCCTACTGATCGCTCTAAGAAGTCCTTTTTTATCTAAGAAGGACCCTCTTTCCGATTTCAGCGAGCCCTGCCAATCTACAGAGGGCCCTCAGTCAGCATTTAACCCTCGGCCGTAAATGGTGTTTTGCCACCTTCGCCCATGCAGGGGGGGGGGGGGTGCGACCCCCCCTGGCGTTTGAAAACGGAGCGTCGTAAAGCTTAGCGGAAAGGACCAACGGATTGCTCTCAACGAGATCTCGCGATTGGCGGTATATTTTTTGGTCCTAGGTTAACATTTGACCTACTTATGACCCGTAAAAGGTCAAATTTTCGAAAAATCTAACTTTTTCAATTTCCGCGCCGATTGCGACAAAACGGTAAGAGATATCGACTTGAAACCTTCACTTTCGTGATCCTTGATCAATTCTCTATCGTTTGGTGTGTATTTCGATGTCATAACTCTAAAAATGATGCGTTGGGAGCATCGGAAGTCTGCAAGGTCATTTGTGCATTGGGTCACGTCAGGCGTGTGACGTCACTCTGACCTGACCCTGACCCAAAATGAACTACAAGAAACAACCGACGATGCCTGAAATGGATAGCACATTCGAATTCAGGGCATCAAAATACCCCCAAGAGGCATACAAGTGCAAGAAGTCATTACAGGTCAACCGAGGTCACTGACCTTACCTTGACCTTTAGTAACCTTCAAAATGTCAACGGACATTGTGCCAATGTCAAATCAGCCAGTTGTGATTCTAAAAACAATCCATCAGTGTGTCAGGTCAGTCGGCATTTATACCAATGTGAAGCAATCTCCAATTTAGCGTAAATCTGGCCGGAGGTTGTTCCCTTTATGACGTCATAACTCCGTGACCTGACATGACCTTGACAAAAAAATAGGAAAAGTTGCGCAAAGGATGCCGCAGAGGGTAGGTACTGAAATTTTGAGCAGGCTATCTGAAACGGTTCGGCGTGTAGCTAAGAAAAACCTCAGGGGGGGAGGTTGCACCAACCCCCCCTACATGGGCGAGGGTTAACCCGCGCAAGGCCGGAGGGGTGTTTGAATAGCCCCCCCCCCCCCGCGGTTTTCCGCAGATGTCTCAAAAACGTCAACGCGGAGCGACGCCGTTTCTTATACACCTGTTCATGCATCCTTTCCACACATGTTGTGAAAATTTCAGACCCAGGGCTCTTAACCCTCGCCGGACCTATTGGTTTTCTACATACGCGCCGGCCGAGGGGGGGCGTGTACGACCCCCCTCGCCGTTTCGCCCCTGGTGGAGCTAGCGCGTCGCGGAAAAACGAGCGTGTGCTCCGTTGCGAGACGCAGAGATTGGTACCCGATTTTAAGGTCCTTGGTCAACCGGTGACCTCTGAGGTCAGGTCAAGTGCCCTAAGGTACGGTTCAGTTTGTGGCGAATAACTTCGCAAAAAATGGCCACAGAACCGCGAGTTTAGCAGCATCGTGTTCGCCATTTTCAGACGCGTCGAATGATATACTTTTTGTTCGGGTCAGGTCAACTTAGGGTGTTGACCTCAGGTCAAGGTCAGGTCAACACCCCCAGGTCACGAAGTTGGTCGAAAGAGGTCATGTCGCATTACATTCGATTCGGCAGGTCTTCCTGAGTCCACTGGTGGCTTTCCCGACTCGTTAGCTCAATTTGATCAAGTTATTGACGAAAAACGAATATGACCTTGATGACGTTATAAATGACGTCACACAAGGTCAACATTGCAAAAGTGACTCATCTAACCTTACAAAGAGTGCATTAAATCACGATTATGTGTGCTTGAGATAGTTGGAGATCGTTCCCGGCGCCAAAATAGCAGTTTTCTTTTTTCCCCATTGACTTATTGAAATGGTGAGGTCACGAAAATGACCTGACCTCATATGACCTTTAGGAGAAATCCGAGATATACAAGTTGTGAGACTCATAATGGATACTAGATCCTGCAAGTTGTATTTCCCTGTGACATCTCCTCTGGCAGTGAGGGCGTTGC